GGGAAACGGAAAGCTGGCCAGCTGGGCGAGGGCTGCATGTAGCTCCTGTAGAACAGTAAACACTGACTCACCCCCTTCTTGTGTCTTCTTTCTCTTCATGTCAAATATATTGCCTTGCATATGCTTCTACTCTCTGATTCACACCATCGGGCCGTCCCTCCCCACTCTCATTACAAATGAGTGACAAGCGTCAGTCTGCCTTACAGGATGTGTGAAGATTGTCAGAGCAGGAGAATGGCTTTTTGAATGATGGCAAGGGAGATGGTGCTCTGCCTGCCATGCTTGCAATGTGCTGGAAATCCGTGTCGTGGAAAGCCTCCGAGCGGCAGTGGCACAGCGACGAAGATTTAAGCATCTGTAGTTTCCTTCACCTGTCAGCTCAGATGTTATCCTTGGTAGGCACATCCGTTTGGCTAGTGCTCTGGAGCAGGGAATAACTTGTGGATAAATGAGAATTTTAACTAAAACAGCTGCCTGGGAATTAAATCACCGCGTTTGGGATCGAGTAGAGTATTCCCTGCGCAACTGCCGGTGCCGAATTGAGACGCGATGGCAGAGATCCTCATCGCTGCTTAAACCTTAGCGCTGTTTTTCTGCCCTCTGGAAGTCGTCGCTGGCCTGGCTGAAGGTGAGGGTTGCATGTTTTCAGTTTGCTGTACGTGTCTGGAGATGGAAGCTAAACACAGCAGGGCTGTCTGCCAGGCACTCGTGTTCTGGCCGGGTTGTCTTTCAGTGTAGAAAGAGTTTTAAAATGCGAGTTCATCCGCAGGTGTCGGCAGTGACTTTATAGTAATTCCTTAATGCGTAATGTGCTTTGAAAGCCCTGTAGCGTGGAAAGTCTGAAATCGCATTCTGGCATGTTTTCTTTCTTAATTGCAAGCCTGTGGAAAGCTCTGTCCTACCTCTGCCTGAGTCAGGCTTTCTGCCGTCTTCTCCTTTCCAAGCAAAAGAACTGAAGGTCTCCAAATGGTCCAAACTCGGACCATAAGGCTCGGGATGTCAGCTGGAGACCTCCAGGTTTTTGAGAGGATGCTGCAAGAGGCACAGGAGTTGTCTGAGAGAGGGAGAGGCCATTGGCAAGGCTGTCAATGGGTAACTTTATTGCAGAATTACAAGGGCTCTTTATGTAAGCCACAGTCACAACACTTGCTTTAAATACAAGCATGGAGCTGCACTGGAAAAGCCTTTGCCCCTTACAGTTGGTGTATTACTACTCCCTGCTTTATTTATGTAGCATTCAAAGTGTGTCGTACTGCTTACAGAATAGAGATTTAAGGCGGTCCTTGTTCCAAAAAGCTGAGCTCCTAATTTTAGATGTGATGCAGCAAATGCAATTAAGAAAAGAAGGGCAGGGATAGGGTAAAGACTGAAAGGGTTCTGATAGTCAAATCGCAGGTGGGATCCCAGAAGACCCCTGTGCAACATGTTTAGGAGATGCTGCTGGAAATGACAGGTTTGCAGGGTGGTTTATGATTTTATTTTTGGTGGGGTTTTGTCTTCTAACTGTGGGAGATGCTGTGCCACTTGTTGTTGGTAGCTGAACAGTCCCAAATAGACCTGGTGGGAAAGATTCTGTAGATGGGGAGATGGAACCTGAGGCCCTGGGGGACTGTTGATGAGGGTTGTGTTGTTGTATCGGTTTCGAGCGGAGCCTGAACCACACCTGTAGGCTCACCTAATGCAGAGATAAGACTCACCCTGTCACTCGTGTCTCAGTGTGAGACTTAAGCCTGTTGGAGTGTTTCTACTCGCACTGCCAAATCCTGCCCTTGGGGTTGGGGCAGACCCAAATCTCCCACCCTTGTTTGAAGAGGGTCTGGTGTCATGATTCCTGACGGTGCCCTGCACCTCCTTGCTCATCGCTGTGCTGGCAGCAGCTCTGGCACATCGCTCCTGGTGCAACGGGATGGATCCCAGCCCATCTCCGCGGGATGCTGGCCCATCCGGGGTGTTCTGGTGTGCAGGGGGAGGCAGATGTGCAGCACGAGACCCTCTCCTGAGCATCAGGGTGTTTGTCACCCGCCAAGGATGTGCAGGGTGAGGAGATACTGCTTTGGGGACATGCAACAACAGGTGACCAGAAGGGATTTTGTCACATGGAGCCAGAGCGTAACTCGGGGTGGCAGCCCAGCTCGCACGCTGACCCCCACCAAAGGCAGCCTCACCCCTTGGCTTTTCTTTTCCGCGATATTCAACGTTTCTTTCCATCCCTGCGCAGCCCAGCAGCCCGGTTCAGTTTTTCCATCGGCTGGTGGAGAAGGCGCTTTGAAGACTGCGCTGGGTGAGGATCAAAA